AGAAGTTCTCTGCTTCTGGTAGCGGGCAGGTTGGAGAATAATGAAAGGAGCACTTAAACTGAAAAACGGGGTTAATCTTAACCTGCCTGACATGCTGAACACCTTGCTTAGTGAAAAGTAGGTCTGTGGATATCTTCAGAGAAAAGGAAATATAGATGAAGAAAATTGACGTGAAGGTTTATTGCTGCAGAAACAAATTGTAAGAGAAAAATTGAAGCTTCAAATTATTCTCAGCTCCAAAAGGAGACATCTTGATCCTGCAGTTAAGCAAAGGTTTTTATTAATTGCCCAAAAACTCAGGTAAAGCCATGAATTAGTGTCATGAAACTACATCTAGAATCAGATGCAGGGCTTTCACTTAACAAATGTGTCTATGGGTAATGGCTGAAAATTACAGTTTCCTTCTAATCAAAAAAGTGCCTGTTCCTTGAACAGAAGACTCGTCAGCATTGGTTTTTAAAGCACCATGAACACCATGTTTCTGATTTTCCTTCTTGGGCTTTTGTTGTTGTTGTTGCAATAACAAAAGAGGAGCAGCACTACGTGAAGGAAGTGTGGATAAACCAGACCTTAGAAATTCCATGCCTTGAGGACACGACGTCAGAAAATTTGTCCAGTTATCCTTTGAAATGGCTAGTGGTAAGTATTTTTCATCTCAGGTATAAATTTCAGAAGGAACTACAGGGTATTTTTGCAGATTGAAATAGAAATATTTGTTAGACTTTACTGTGTCTTGCAGAATCTGCTAAACAAAAGGTATCGGTCGCGTTGGACTGTAAAAAAAAAGTGAAAGAGTACAAACACGGTTTTGCAACAGAGACACCACAAACAATAGCTGTTAAAGAAACAAAGAAGGAAAATTCCATCTTAATTGCTTTTAATTTTTTCAGGAGCACATGTAGAGCAGGTCCGTGGAAAGTGGCAAAGAACTTAGCAAATGTAACAGAACTAAAATATTCCTTGTGTTGGATTTCTCAGGGATTTTTGCTGTAGTGAAGCTTTAGTACCTCTGAAAAATACACAGTTACTGTGTAGGGTAGTGAGATATCAGCTTTGAAATATAAAAAAAAAAGGGGCTGACTAATGTTTTTGTTAACCTCTGTGTGTCAGATTCACGCTGAAGACATGCAAACCCAGTTATCTAGCAAACCACATAAAAACTATTTTTAAGCTATTTGCTGTGAGATATAAAGCTCATTATATTTTTATACTGCATCTCACTTTCTGGATAAATATTTGTATGCGTGTTTTAATGTAACATTTTAGCATTAATTTCAGTAGGTAGAGATAAGTATCGGCCAGCAGTGTACTGGAGCTTTGCCTGTTAATTTCTATCTATTGCCACTGAGGAGCTGTAACTGTTGAGGGTTTTCTTAAAGGTGATTTTAAAATATTTTAGATTTTTTAGTCTTTTGTCCCAGCTCATTATCTATTTAGGTGTCCCCTTTGCAGTGCATTCTTAATATTAAAATTCTTAAAAATTTTGTAGGTAATATCCTTGTCCTTACTACTTTTTAGTGTTGCTAGTTCACTCTACAAAGTAGCAGAGGAAGGGGAAAAAAACCCCAAAGGTCAGCACAATGACATATGTGGGTCACCATGCATCATTCAGAGTATAGCTTGCAAATATGTACCGAGGCACAGATGTCCAGGATGTGCCAGCTGCATCTATATCTAGGGGTGGCTGGCACACAGGCATTAAGAGGAGATGACTTTTAGCTATTATTATCAGCTTCTCGCTATTGGAAATCTAAAAGAGCAATGATTTTCTTGGAATTTCAGTCATATTTAATACGTATGGGATGCTCAGCATAACTTAAATATTGCTGCAGTGAGAAAGCAGCTCTGTTGCCCTCTCTGTGGGCTACAGAGATCAGGACTCACAAGACACAGATATTTACTCCATAGTTTATTGGAAAGATGATGACTGCTATTGGTTTTGAAGTTCTGGGAGAGAATGTATTTGTGGAAAAAAAATAGATGTTGCAAATGTCTGCTTACTACTACACAATGCTAGGGGTGCAAGGGAAGATTTTCATAGTGGGAATAGAGCTGGTCTACAGAAATGTTTGGGGGGGGGTGTCTGGTCTTCACACATTGTGTGGGTTGCTCTTTTCACAGGGGGAAAATGGCAGGAAAGAGGAACTTGTGACCAAGGAGCCCTCCTCTCCTGCAGTGTGCAGGAATGGCAGCACGCTGTACAGGCAAAGAGTCCACCTGACTTTGAATAACGCTCTAAAGATTTTCCCCATCAAAATCACAGATGATGGCAGAGTGTTTTCCTGCCATGTGGTGTACCACCCAGAGAGAGTCCAGAAGAGCAGCACCACCGTGAGAGTATTTGGTAAGGGCCTTATGCCAACCGCCCGCTTACTTGCACTTGGAAAGGTAACACTCCTGTCTGGTTCTGAAGGCAATAGCTTTTGAAATACGCGGAGGTTTTTATATACACGTATTTACATTGTATTTTTTTCAGCTGCAATGGGTTAAAATGTTAGTAAACAACCCCATAGTTCTTAGGAAGAATTTGAGGCCATTCCTTCAATTTCTGGCATCAAAAATAGCAGATCCATTGCGCGTATATCAACACCACTGGCATGCACGTTGCCACTGTCTCACCCTGATGTGTAAGCTTATGTTGGCACTTTGCGGGTTACAGTTAAGCACCTTGGCCATCAAGATCTCCGTGCCCCGGTTACTTACAAAATGACCATGCTGCCTGTGGTTAGGAAATCATGGCCAAAATTTAGTAAGCAGCTAAAGCAGTTGGAACTACTGTTGCTGCAAAGTCACATCCTCAAAGGCATGTGGTGGTCACCTGCTGCCAAAGGCTCTGGTTCTGAAAATGAGGTCCTGCCTGGCGGTCTCAAACTGGTCAGGAGTGGCAGGGCCCGTGTACCGCAAACATGTGGGCTGGCATTTCACACTGGAAGCTTTCCCCATCTTTAGTTACCTGCTCTGTTCTCTTTCTAGTGGCTTAGGAACTACTCTACAATTGCTGAGGTACAACCGAATCAGAGCAATGCTGCCCATGGAAAACTGAGCTGCATTTACTGCTTATAGAGCAGTGGGTCTGGAAAACATATTTCCAACGCTCCTAAAATGAATAGGTGTTAAACAGTGGGTCTGTCAACAGTCCCTTGACTGTAGCTACTTGCCTGAGGTAGCCCACGGCTCGGGGGCAGCATGGCCATGTGAGGCTCATGCTCTGAAGGCAAAGAAAGATTCAACAGGGAGCAGAAAAAAAAAAAAAAAGCAAAACCTGTGTCTGGGGGCTGTTGGTCACTGACACAAGAGAAATAAAAATAAAGTTAATGATCTGAAATTTCCTTTTGCATTTGCATGATTCAGACATGGGTTTTACTTTTAAAAATCAACATTTTTCAAATAGCTACGGTGTTACCTGGGTAGTCGTTCAAGTATACTAATATACTTGAACTCTCCCTCCCCTCCGTCCCTGCTGATGCTCTCGCCTTGGTTTGTGTATCTGCTAGCCTAAGAGGTTGCTTTATTTGGCTTATTCTCTGAATTACTGTGTCACGTGTGGTTGTCTGTGCATGCACCCACATCAGCATGTTAGTACGACAGGGGAGAGAGGCAGACAAGAGAAAGCAACCACGGCCCTTGATGGTGACCTGTCTGTGATGCTCCCAGCAAGTGCTGCCTGGCTTTGGACCAGGTCCTGTGCCATCAGCCTCTCCCGCAGGTGTCCTGAGGGCATGGTTAGGTGGAGGGGCTCCCTGAGAGCTGGTTTGTGGTGGATGCTGAGGAAGGTCTCTCAGACCTCAGGCCGATGGAGTGCAGATCTTGGAGGAAGCGCATTTTTGTGCTTTTAGCCCTTTCATGTCTGATATTTTGCGGGTAAAATAACTATTTTTCATGCTGTCTCACTCTTGTCTTTTACCATTCGCTGAAGTCACGCTGCTTATGATTGCATCATACCAGCTTTTCTCCATTTACCTCTCTTGTGCTGCAGCGGGAGGGGAGACCAAGAGTAGATGGTCCATAGCCGCCCCTGCACCAGCCCACACGCCCATGCACTGGCAGGGCAGGAGCTGGCAGAGAACAGGCAGAGACAGTGGCCAGGATAATCCAGCAATCTCCAGCTGACGTTTGGAGACAGAAAAACAGCCACTTCAGATGACAGCACCTCTCTTGTTCCTTGTGCCAAAGCTGACCAGGGAATGAAAAAATGAACATTTATGTCCTAGCAGGTAGACCCAACCTCAAATGGTCAGGGCAGGATCTAAAGCATGATAGTAAGCATGTACAATGTCAAGAGCACATTATATTGGTCATATCTGTCATCCTGGCCATTAGAAAGGACACAGCTAGAGAACCAAGGCCAACTGAAACCTGGGGAGATTTTCCCATCTCAGCAAGTCAGCATCCCCCCTGTCACCCAAACACTTGTGCAATTGATCCCCAGGGGCTGGGTGGCAATGAAAGAAGGGAAGGGAGGGCAGTCAGCTAGTGCACCACGGTGCTGTAGTGGGCAGAGGAGGATGAGGAGAGGAAGGTACTGTCGCCTGGGGAAAGCTCCCTGTCAGGATCCCTCTGACAAATGCTTCAGGGCTAAACACAGCAGAGACAGCCCAAGTCTGAGGGGCAGCAGTGGTGCTTCCCCACAGATGCTTTAGATGGCCTGAGTATGACTGTGAGCTGGGCAGGAGAGGATGGGGAAGGCATGAACAAGTCTCTCAATGAAGTTGGGAGTCTTGATAGGTTGATTAAAAACGGACATTCAGTCGAGAGAGCTTTTTTTAAGAGGGTACTTTTGGACTGAAATGCTTTAAAATATTTCTTTTCTAGAACAGAGTTCTTTTAGATACAAGTTTCTGAGAAAATGTATGGCCTTTTCACGTCTAACTTTGCCAAGTATTGATTTCTCCTTTTTGTAAGAGTAAAAGCTCAGCCGCAGAAACTACTATACTAAATATTGAATTTGTGCTAGACCCAAAACATTGGTAAATATCCTAGCAAGACAAATGAATGTCAAACTCTTAACAGGGGCTGAGATGTTAAATGGAAAAGATCTATTAGATCATTCAAAGCTGTGCTTGAGAGCTGCCTGCCAGACTAGTGACCCAGCAAACATGTCTTCTGAGAAAGCAGAGGACAACATCCAATACAGATGTGGAAAAGCATACCCGTTCTCATCAAAAAAACAAAAGGAAGAGCAGGCACTGGACTAGATGTTATTTAGTCTCCCAGCCAACTTTTAGCTGAGATTAGAAGATCCAGTTTACCAGACTTTTTCTTACATCTGAAGAAGTATGGTTGTCTTCTGCCAGCCCCACCACCATCTGTACAGTTTTGGCAAGGCAGAAACAAGGATGAAATCTTAAGACATTCATTTTCTGATAGGAAGAATCCACCAAAAGAAAAAAAAAAAGGAAATTCCACCCAAAAAGTACCCTAAGTCCAGAAAACCATGAGGCCATAATAATTAAATGTAGGTCACTGCCAGGCATAATCCATTAGTAACACTAGGCAGAAAAATGGGAATTAAAAAAAAGAGTCCTTGGTGGATTCGCTGTATAAAACAACAGGGAAACTTGAGCAGTTCACCTCAAAGAGGAACGTAATGAACTGAGGTGACCCTATATCAATTAACAGGGTTAGAAAAAAAAAGAAAATAAAATTATCTTAATGGTAGAGATTAAAGTGAGGTTTAGGTTGGAAAGAGAAAGAATTACCCTCCTAAGTAATCCAGGGGCTGCACTTGTTTCCAGACCAGTTTTAAGGTTCAGAAAGGGCCAGAAGCACGATTTATCCAAGGCTTTTGAGATCTGATGTATATTAGCACAGTTTCAACAGTCCTTACTTAACAAGTTAGTTAATATTACTGCAAACCAGTGATCCCAATGGCTAATTTAGAAATGCCAATTTAGAGAGCGTCACGGTACCTGACAGCTTTTACCTATACAGTCAGCCGCGCCTAGAACCAAAATGCTGTGAAAACAAAAGAAAACACTTTTTCCATTTCTTGTGGATGTGGTCATCAGAGGCCCACTGCTCTGATGTGAAGGTGAGCTCTGGGCTTCCCCGCAAGGCAGGAAGCATCTGTGGTGTGACACTGTCACACATCTGCCCAGGCAACAGCACGTGGATAGCTGGTACCCAAAATCAATCAACGTTTTCGGGGGCGGCTAAAGCCTTTGTAGATGATTCTGATGGGCAAACACCCAGAGGAACCAACAGCTTGGGAGTGTTTTATTTCAGCAGGCCTGGGAAGGGTGGTTTTGCTGCCGGAGCCATGACTGCAGGATGGTTTGAGCTCACTTCTCCAGCAAAGCCACTCAAGAGTAGTTTAGACAGACAGTGAAACACATCACGGATTTTGTGGTAGTAGCTGCTGGTATATGCTTGTAAACCACTTCCTTGACCTCAAATTGGAGCTGTGCAAGCTTTTATCTTGCTAGGTGTGTGGGTGGATGTAGGATTTAATTTTCACTCTTTTTATGAAACAAGGCTGTTAAGTCTCATTAGAAGCTGTTACTGTGACCTTCGGTATCCATTTCACTAACACATTTCTGTTTGCTTTCCAGCCTACCCTGAGATCTCTGTTAGCCTGCAGGAGGGCTCAGCTGGCATCTTGCAGAAGGTGAGCGATTTTGGAGCAAAGAGTAATGCCCGTGACTATCACCATGCCACCCCAGCAGGGCCAGGCAGGCTAAGCTGAATCAGACATAGGTGGGACCTCCGAACTGACCGAGCTCACAGGGCGACAAGCAAGTCAATGAGTTAATGTCAGATGTTCGTATCCTTTCTTCTGAGCGATTCCCATCCCTGCAGCAGCAAGCTGCTTCAGTGAGCACAAACTGGAGCTAGCTAAGGGCTTCTCCATGGTGTGGGCAAAATCTGATGTTGCGTTAGCCCTAGGGAAGGCTGCAGGACAGGGTCGAGAGGCTGTGAGGAGTCGGTGGTGTTGCAGGGGGCTGCAATGCTCCCTTTCCCTGCCCATCTGCTGGCTACTGCCCAGCAGCCTCCAGCTGCCCTCTCCACACCGCATAAAATCCCTCTCCAAAGAAGGCCACCCACTACCCAGGATGCTGCTCCAAGGGGGTAGGCAGCGGCAGCCCCTGCCTGCAACACAGCCCCCCTGGGGACAGGGAGGAGCAGGTGCTGTGGGAGCAGTGCTTGGGGCACCAACATGGTCTAGTGTGTGGATGGAAAGGTGATGATCTTGTCAGGCGTAATGTGTCATGCTCCAAGCAGAACTCAGCTGGAGCAATCAGATGCCGATGGAGGGATTGGATCTAAGTCTGAGGGCCCCTATTTAGAGCTGAGCACTTACACATGTGTTTTGGGGCCTTGGTTTTATCACCTGCTTGGCAATGGCAAAACCTAAAGGGAAAGTCTGCTGTACTGCACTGGCCGTACTTGGCATAAAACATATTTGTGGCCCATATGTCTGACTAGCAAGCCACTCTGGCTACTAGCTATGACACTTTGCTTCCTGTTGCATCCATCCGGGTTGCAGCTTTTGATCTGTGAGCATCCCAAATTAAGAAAGTTTTCCTTGGAAACAGCAGTTGTGGGCAGGCAGAACCTTGTATTAACCATATCCACCTGTTACCAGACAAGCCATGAATCAGTTGGTTCTGCAAAACCAGTATAATTTTCCTGGTGGCCTATTTCCGGGTGTGGTGTTGGACATTGCAGGCTTTTGTCTGCACTGTCCTGCTGAGCAGAGCAAGGGGTTCTGCCATCATGGGACCGGGCAATAGAAACTCTTCCAAGAGCCTCTGTCCATTCTTCACCTCCAAACAAACACCAACTCCTTTCTTTCTCTTTTCCACCCTTTCTTGCAGGGCTTAAATCTACTTTGGATGTCAGATTTGTATTTCTTCATAGGAAGCATTTATAAAAATATTTTGAACTAAAAGTGGCTGAAAAATAAGGGAATAATGAAGAGAAAAAAGGGGAAAGCAATTACACTACGAGTTCAGAGGTTATTTACCACGGCAAGGAAAGAGTTTCAGCTGGGTAGTTTCAGTCTTCATACTGAACGATTGAATTCTGCTGGCTGCAATGCATCAAGCTTGCTTTCAACTAAATATGTGAACCACTTTGAAAGTGGGAGCAAGAGAGCTTTGTGCTGCATGAGTAGCACGTGCTTTTTTCTTTTTTTTTCTTTCTTTGAAAGGACAATTTCTCTTAATGCCATAAGCTGCTAAGTAAATGTAATTGGGAACATCCAGGCAGCATGAGGATGAGATTTCCCACTCTGCTATTGCCCAACCCTTCATCCAGCCTTGATTTTGAGATCCCTCCAGTCCTTCCTATCTATTGCTTGATGAGAAATTAAACTGAGCACAAACACAGACTTTTGGAGCAATTGGCATGCAGCCAGGACTACTGCATCTAAAGCATGCAATTCTTTGTGACTTCTGGAAACCTCTTACATATCTTACCCTCTACAAAGGCAGCTAATTTTGTATATTCAACATATCATTGTGCTAGGCAGTGTTTTTCATGGGATTTGCCTCCTTATCTGCTTAACGAAGGAAGGATTTACATGGCAATCGGCAGGTGTCTCATTCTCCCCACACACACCGTGCCCATTACCGACGCCAGTGTTTCTCCCTGTGGGTGTTTGCCCCCAGGGTGCTGGGCTGAGGGCAGGAGTGTGGGGGGGGTCACCTTACGTCTCTCTGGCCATGGCACAGCACTGGAGGGTGTTGGAGCGCCATCACCCCACACCTGGCCCAGGGCAATGGGAGTGTCCCTGGGCTCTCATTCAACAGTGTCTCCAACCAGAAAAATGGGTGGGAAAGAAATGCAATAGAGAGGAAGCGACTGCTTCCTTCCTGAGCGGGATGGTGAGTAAATAAGCTATCTGTAAGGGATTTTGGAAGCCGGGTGAGAAATGCCAGAGGCTAACAACTGGCTTTTACTGCCCCATAGCCTAACGTGAGCTGCATTGTGAGGAAGGCATTTCCCAAGCCGAGCATCCTATGGTACGTGGACAGAGTGAGCCTGACGGAGCAGCCTGGAGGTAATGCAACCTGTCAATAGGCCAATGGCACAGCTGTAGAAGTGGTTCCCAAGAAAAGCAATGGTTGCTCATCCGCTCCTACTGTGGGGAACCTGTAGGTGTCGGTCGGGGTGAAGGGGAGGATCAGACCTCCTCAAAGGGAACAGCTGGAGAACAGCTGTGACCATTGCCCCCTGCAGTTGCCAGTGATGGGAACAATGGCCTGGCATAACTGCGCTGTTCTTGCCAAACTGTTGATAGTGTCTCAGCAAAGAAACCTGCAGCCATATGAGCTTGCTTTTCAGTAGCAATATTCTGCACAGCTCTGATTTATAGTTTGGAGTGTAATGAGAGGGTCTTGCAGCTTTTCTTTTTTTTCTTTCCACAAGAAATTTCTGTTGAACAAGAAGACTCACAAGACAGTGACGGTTTCTATCAGCTGAGATCAACACTGATGTTGCAAGGGACCCACCAGACACATAAGATGTTCTTGTGTGCATGTCTGTTTTCCTCTTTTGGGAATGAAACATGGAATATTTCATCAGAAGAAATATTTGTTTCCCTCGGTAGGTTTTTTACAGGTAGGATGCATCTGAAATGTAAAATGTTAAGAACATTGAACATGTATTCTCTGTTATTTAAAATAGTGAAAAAACACCAAGTGTATGGAAGGTTTTTTTATACAAGTTCATCACACAGCTTGAACTTTCTGGCAGGTTTTTTAGCTCAAGTCTTTGCTCAAGACTCTAAATGAGCTAAGAAACTCCTGCACAAACATAAGATGCTTGCTGTTTATTTAGGCAGTATCTTGCTGCAATTCTGATATCCAAAAATACACTAGCTTAGCCACATGGCACCAGTGAGCTACTATAATCATGTGTTTCTCACTGAGGACTCCTGGCAGAAAGTCTGCATGTGTGCAACGAAGCTGTCTGGAAAATCAAACCCACAGAGTCAGGGATAAAATGTACACCTTCAGTGAAACCTGCAAAAGGCCCCTAAAACAGTTGAAACATTTTGGGCAATGGAGAACCTTCCCTGTAACCTGTACTATAAGAATTAGGTACATGATTAGGGAAGTGTGGGGAAATGCTATCTCAAGTAGTTGGTGAAAGCGGGAGATGTGGCGGTCCAGAGATTTATGGCGTTTCTGAGGATGCAGGGTGGCCGGCGAGAAGGGCAAACTGATTTCCTTTAGCACCCACTTGTGCATGCCTCGTCTTTAGGTGCAAATGCACAGTTACACCTTTTTTTCTACTCCTTGCTGAACAGATAGTACAACTGAACTGCTGCCCCTTAGCAACCTCCACGGGCACGTCACATGCCGTGGTGACTACTCGCAGCTCAGCTGTGTTCACTTGTGGCTGTGGATATGCTTGTTGGCATGTTTTTCCACAAAGAAAGACTACATCAAAAGCCAGAGCTTACTCCCCTGCAAATATAGTTTCAGAGGGAAGGGAGATAAATGATCATTTTTCTCCAAAATGACTCATTTCACCCAATTTGCAGTTTTGTAGAAATGTATTCAAATCGGAGAGCTGCCAATTAAAGAAGTCTACATTCTCGCCTGCAGGGTATATTAACGCTTAGATAGATCCACTCTGTATAAAAATGTTAATGTATTTAGATGTGACAGAAAGGAAAGAATTAAATTAATTCTCAGCTATGTTCTGTGAAGGTGCCATATTAATGCACAGTATGACACAAACACCAAACCAAATTTTTGGCCTTTATAACAAAAGCCTGACTACTTTGAAGAACTGCTTTCATCTTTTTTTTTTCTTCACAGACAATAAGTCTAATGAAGCCTCAGCCGAAGCTTTTACCACCATGGCTTCAGAAGGTAGGATAAATTAGAGAACAAAATAACTTGGGTTATGTTAGAGGTATGTCTATAAATTCCTAAAGCTGTTGCAGAAATTGTTTTGCAAACTTGTTTCTGGATGGGTAGTAAGGCACCCCTTTCTGCAGCTATGACTTCAGAGAAAATACAATAAATATATATTTTGGTGATGTAATCTATCATAATTAACCCCAAGCATAATTAAACTCCAGCCTTGAGGGGCACTTAATGTTATTTCTGATGCTTCAGTTGGCATTTGAATATAGCTCTTTCAGCACTGTACTGATAACTAAAAATAAGAGCCCTACTAATGGTTCTACCTTCTGCTTACGTACACAGCCAAGATCCTCAACACTTTTGCCTAATTAAAGAACTGATGGGATGTTTCTTAATTTGTGTAAATTTGGTAAATCCGTGCTCTGCCCCTGCAAGTTTGTCTTATTATCAACTTATTACAGACAGATAAATCATTCCCTCCACACCTCAGCTGAAGCGCTTTGGAGATGCCTCTCCTGGGGTGGCTTGCCCTGCTCTGCCCAGGAGGCAGCTGCATTTCAGCTGTGGGTTACGAGAGTGTGTCAGATAAATGCTGTAGACAAACAGCATGGAAAGAGGTGTGGTTTTCTGTGTAAGCTTGCTTCTGCGAGTGCAGATTGTGGCAGACCCTGGGGGTTCAGCCAATACCCTGTTGGACGTTGGACACCAGAAAGCCATCCCAGTAAACAGGGGTCCCTGAGAGGGAGACTTTGTCCTCCGATGGCCTCTGCAAGGTGAGCTCTCAAAGCAGCCCCTGCAGCTTGCATCAGGTCACCACCCTGCTTCTCCTTGCACACTCTGCAGTAATGTACTGGGAGCTGGGCACACCTCAAGGTGCCCCACTACCCTGGTTTTAGACCTGCTGCATCTTTCGTAAGGGATCCTCTTATGTCAGCCAGCTACTACGATATCCCTGTTAGCACAGGCGAGGCTAAAATGAAGTGCAAATGGAAGAGCAACACTCAAAACAGTCAAAAGAAAGCAGCTGGAGAGTTGATAATTATCTACTTATGCTAAGATCCTGTCTGCAGAGGGTCACTCCCTGTCCAACACCCTCCCAACGTGCCTGACCACACAGAGGTACTTGGGCTGCCTTCCCAGGTATGTTTTTCTAATGGGGTGTGCAAGCTTTCATGGTTCACCCCCTTCATGGAGCCCTTGGGGAGATTTAATCCTTCCTCCTAACCTACTCAGGGGGTACTTTGCCTCACCTCCTGGGCAAAAAAAAGTAAGACAACTCTTACTCAGGATGTAAATACTGCTTGGGCAGGAATAAATCCCTCTCTCTCCCCTTCTTTGAGAACTCAGTGAGCACTTTTCAGTGCAAAGTGTCCCTGAAATTTCCTGTCAGGTTGCAGTCTCTGAAATGCCTCATGGATGGAGCTATGCAGGTGCCACCACCAGGTCATATATGTTATTTCAACCTGCATGTCAATAAGGTGCTTCTGTTTGTATGGGATAAAACCACGTAACTCACTTCTGCTTTTTGAGTTGAGGCGCAGACTGGAGGTGCCCGGGGCTCCAAACCTTTTTCCCCCAAACCTCTGTTTCCCTAGGGACTTGGTTGGGTTGTGCATTGAAAGATTATTTGGAAATTAAGTGTGATGCACTCTCTCTCACTCTTGAACCCTTGAATGACGCCCTTTTCTAAAGCAGAATAAACACCTTTCTCACCCTGAGTAAAAGTGTTTGCTTTGATTTGTTACAGACCTTGGAAATTCAGCACTTCCATCAGCTGTCATGACTACCTCAGGTAAGGGGCGGGGGGGGGGAAGCCTTCTCTGTTGCTCAGTCAATAGATGTATGATCTCTGCTTGACCTGTGCTTAAATGTCATGTACACAGAGCCAGAGGCGTGCCAGGGAAAGGTCAGTGTGCTCTGGTATCGATGGTACCTCTGCGCTGCTGGACAGGAATTTGCGAGCAGAGATCTGACGCAAATCCTGTTAAAACGGTCATGTTAGGACAGCATGTAAAATGGCGTGCTGAATATCACGTATTATTCTTATGCCTTTTTATAAAATGGAATAAAAATGCCTATACAACTATGAATAAATTTGTCCTATTATGACAGTGAGGTGCATGTGATGATAGAAAAGTTAAAAACACCGCTTTTCCTTGACCCAATAGTAGCACATCATTCACATTCAATAATGATATAAGATAAATACCACTGCTTTACCAGAGCATGCATATGGATAACTATGTAAAACTACCTTCAGCAATTGAGAGGAAAACCCGCAAGAGTAGGCGATCTCCTGGGCTTATATGGCTGCCGCGTGTTGTCAGAACCATTTCTGGTAAGGCTCTGGCTAGGCGGGGGAGCACCACCATCAAGTGCATAATTCACTCCACAGCAGTTAAATTGAACCCAGTGTATAAAAACATAAATAAGTAAGGCACACAGCTAGCCCATGTGAAAGTGTCTGCATTAATAATGTCAACCGTCTCTGATTGCCCCTTGAATTTGTGGGATGTGTTTTGACCATTTAACCTTAACTCTGACAGTGGGATTTCTGCAGCAGAGTCCGCATTAACACAACAGCTACTGCAAGCTTTTTGATCCAGGTTGTTTTATGATTTATTAATATTATTTTAAAAAGACCCTATCAACCAAATGTGATACCGTGTAATCTGTTTGTCTTTAGAGCAACAGTCAACATCTTTGGCATCTCTAGATTTCACAAGTCAAGCAAGCTTGGTTCCTGCTTCCACGACACAAGGTAATCAATTCAGCCAAAATGTCTTCTCTATTGCTTCAAGAACGTAGGAGAAAGATAGATACATAAACACAATAACCATCTTGAATTCTTTGTAGCAATTTAATGTCCACTGAAGCCCTTTTCCTAGTGCATTATACACTAGGAAGTCCACAGTTCAAAAACAAATATATGAGAAAATGCTGTCTTGATTTCATCTTTTTTAATGCTCCGTTCAGGATATATGCATTAATTTCAGCAAGTGAATAGACATCGAGTATATATTTTTACAATCATCCTATTCCTTGTATCTCTTTAATTAAACATCATACAAAAATAGAATGACATTAGAGCTAGAAAAAGTGCAACCCAAACATTGGAGCACAGGAGTACAAATACAAAGCACCGATAAACAAAATATTTACAGCAGATGACTCAACTCGGTGATTTCTTCTCCGAGCTGGTGACACTGAGGCCAGTGGAGGACAGCGTGACTCACTTGGAAGGGTTTAACCTTGCTTCCCCGGGGAGAGATACATGCACTAGCAGCTGGCACGCATTTGACAGCATGGCAGCAGCCTGAATTGAAAGCAGGTGAAGCTGTGAACCTCCTGCCTTCTGATCCCAAAATAAAGGGTTGATGCCCACCAGTCCCAGCAGAGTGCATTTTCTCGCAGCACAGCCTGTCTGCAAACACTTTTTTCTTTAAAGTCTCTTTCCATTTTGAAGCCCAGCTGTTGATCCCTGTAGGACTGCTAGGTTTTAAGCAGCAGTTAGAAGGGAGTTGGGGCTGCCCTCACTGGCAGCAAGGTGTGCACTCGCTGCCACATGGCCTGAATAAACGCAGGCATGGCACATGCTCCTATTTCAGAGACAAAACAGCCCCTGTGAAGCAGCAGCACAGGGAAGAGGCAACGTGGCAAGTCGTTGTCAAATGCTGTCTTCCCCTCCATAGCAGCACCAAGGCTTTGGCTCGGAAATGGTCCACCATTGAGGCAGCAGCCGGCAAGAGCGAATTTGGCCCTTGGTACTTGCAGCAGCCTTGTTCTCCCAACCAAAACAAAAAAAATCAATTGCAACAGACTAACTTTCATGAGCCTGTGGGTCATTGAACGTCCTCCTTAAACTGTGTAATTCAATCCTGCAATCTTCACTTAAAGTAACCTTTATTACACTATAGCGGTATTTACCGAGAGATGCACGAGTAATGCGATGGGCAGTGTGTGGGGTAATACTGGAGGAAGATAGGAAGAACACAAGGCTTCGTCCTGCCCCAGCAGAGTGCTGTTTGGGAGCTGAACCACTTAATAGAAAGCCCTGGGGCATGAAGAGGCTAGACCGAGATATGCCAGGGCGGGAACACAGATTACAGTGGCACTGAAATTAAAGTTTGCTGCTTCTCACTCTGCCTTCCCCATCCCCAAAGTAGAGACACTTGCCCAGCTTGGCTGACAGCAGGGCAGCAAAGTGCTTGTCCAAGTGGACTGAAAGCCCTTCTGTCTCAACAAACAATTTCATGACAAAGGCTATAAATACACAATGTGAACAGAGAGGATTCTCCTCGCTGGATTATATATCTTCACTGGTTGAGGAGGTACGAGGTCAAAGTCATAGTGTAAAAGCCAGAGCTGAGCCATTTCTCTTCTGTCAATAGCCCAGGAAACATCTGCCTTTTAACCAATGCCCCTGACATGTGGCAGTCATGGTGTGCTGACCATGGGTTAGTGCTTCTCCTCTCCGGCTCACTGCTGGTTCTCACACTGGTGCCACCATCAGCTTTTTGAGCAGACCCTTTGGGCTGCAGCCAAGTCAGGACACCAAGTCCAAGTCTGCCATTGTAAAAGGCAGTTTGATTCAATTTCTGTTATTTTGCAAGTTTTTAATGAAAATCCAAGAGACAGCTGGGAATTGGTAAGAGGGAAGAGTGCACAGATACAGACAGGAGGAGGAGGAGGGGAGACAAAACCAAGACTGTTAAAACTGCAGCCTGGTCTTTGCTTAGCTTCCATGATAGCTCCATCTCTGAGCCCAGAGATGCTCGGGCTTTGAGAGCCGGATTACAGCTGCATTTTACCTTCTCAGGTTTGTTCAGATGGCTTAATGGTACTTTTCCAAAAATAAGACAGGTGTTAGGAAAGGTGGACTCTTTTTAGTAAATGTGAAATAGTCCTCTTGGGAAAATAGAGGTCGACTTGCTAACCACCATCTGTCTGTGTTTGAATATCAGATAAATAGCTAGTTCAGCTCTAGAATACTTAGCACTTCAAAAAAAGATTAAAGGAAAATGTTAAATAAGTTGGTATTTGCCACCAGGCATTGCAGGTGTGACTCCCATACACTAACTTCTTCAAAACTTCTCTTTGCTAGTTGGGAAAACAGTTTTGTCTCATTGGAGCTGGTGAAACCCTGTCTAAATTCTGATTTATGTATGCTTGTTCATCGCACCCTATTGGCTTCAGGTCAAAACAAGTGCACTCAGAACTACTGAGTTTCAGCTGAAACTCAGCTGAAATCCAAAAATGCATGCTTAAATGCCCCATATGTTTTCTCAAAGTTTATTCATCCGTCTCACCAAACTACTCTTGAGTTTCTAGTTTGTGACAGACTAGAGACAGAATTTTGTGGTGTTTGTCTGAGGGAAGCCAGCATCTCAGGTAGTAGGTTACAACTCGTTGACCTCTTTAGTCAGGAAACAGGGAAGAAAGAGGGAAAAATGAAAAACAAGTGATAAGGTCCTCTACAGCAATTTTTACAAGCTTGTGTGTTTTTCAGCAGTAGCGCTGATTTCTACTGCAGAGACAGAAAGCTATACCAGTGCCACAGCATTCCGTGAGAGTTTGACAACAGCACGTGAGTAGATGATGCATCTCCCTTGTGTCATAAGACTGTTAACAGGGGAGTTAGGCAGCTAAATGTAGCTAAATACAGGTGCTGCAATTGTGGCACCAACCTAGCGAGTGTTGGGTTGCAAATCCACAGTGATCTGGAGTACCTTGCAAAAAGTACAGCAGCAGGTACTCGGCTCTACGTGGTCCTCAGTTTGTGATGCCTTTGCCAAGAACATTAGCTCTGCGGTGCTTATTTTCAGCTGCTAGTTGATAGTCACCACATTGCCATGCAAAAATTCTTACTAAACATGGAAAAGTTGCATCCGAGCAGAGGCCAAAAGTAATCTGTACCAGCTTTTCAGTACTCCACAGAAGCAACTCCCCTGCTGAGTGGCACTGAGTTAGAAGATAAAGACTTGAGACTTCCAAGCCATCAAGGATTTGCAACAGCAAAAGAGGAACGAAAAGCGTTTGAGTATTCTGGTTTTATTAGACTTATTTAATTTAATAATATTAAAATTGAGAGAGTTGCTAGGCAAATGTAGTGAGTACTGAGGGTAGTTTATAGATGAAATAAATTACTGGAGAAGCTAAATAAAATCACAGAGCAGCAATGAAATCACGAGATAATGCGGGGCAATAAATGCTGGCTAATAGAATATCGAAAGGCAGCCTCATTAAAGATCAATAAATCAATAAAAAAACCTGGGGGTGGACATTTTTTCACAAACCTTTCCCTTTAGAAAATCTCTGCTCAGCAGCAGAAAGCCAGAAGTGATTTTCTTTTTCAACATCTTGGTTTGTCTTTGTGCTTTCGGAACAGGCAGGACCTGTCAATGCACTTTTGCATTTGTATGGCAGTCATCTTTTGGCTGAAGCGCAAATGTAGCAGCTGCTTTCCATTTTCTGAATATATTTTTGGCAGCAATCTGGTGCTTATTTACCAGCGTATAACCCACAACCACGCATTCAGACCAAAACCTTGTGACAAAATCTAAAGTTTCATGATCGTGCTCTTGCACAGCTTGCTGGTTGCAATTTTTGCTAAAAGCGTGCTGAATTACACTACGATTTGCAGGAGGTACCATGTGTTGCACCACTCATTGGCTTCCCTACAGCTATGCCTGCCTGACCACCAGCTGAGGCGTGGCCTTCAAGGGTCCTCAGTCCAGCGGCTGTAATTGAGGGCAATTTCAGAGCGCACGGGCACTGGTGTGCCTGCTGAGGCATACCGATGTGTTTCCCTGTGCCCTCCCAGGGCCACCGGGCTCGTACAACAGGGATTACCACTATCCAGTCAATCCTCTGAGGCTCTAACACAAGCCATTATGCAGATAATAATAAGTAGTGCTCGTCGGCATGCTGTATAGAGCACAGTGTTATGGGATCTCTAAGTGTATGTCCTTTTTTTTAATAACTTTTTAAAATGCCAGATCTACCATGCTTACCCCCATAAAATCAAACACCTAATAAACAAGAAGAAAAGAAGAACCTGAATTGAATTAATGCCCAAAACTCTCAGTGAATTTTTAGAGTGCCCTAAAATTGGACTGACTTTGGTAGGGCTTTTTAATACATACATAGAGATATAGGTATAGGTATAGGTATAAGTATAGATATAGATATAGAAATAGATATATACACATGCTTAGGTGCTCAATTTCAATCAGAACCAGCATCTCATGAGAAAGAGATTTTCCTGGCTCTGTCCGGTTACTCATTTACATCATTTGAACAATGGATTTTTTTCCTTGGATTTATAAATCAGCAATTATACTAGAGACTTTCAGGTACCTCTGTTATTTCATTTGTTGTCTGCAGCAGAGAAAAGCGAAGGGTATAAAATAGCCACAGTTAAACCTAATGAAGCAGTCATGTACAGGCTTGTAAGATAATTGAAGGATATTATTTCTTTTTGTCCAGATATGAACAATTCCACCACCAAA